TCCCTATATTCCCTCCTCCACTCTCCTTTATAAGCACCAGCAAGCAACCCAGGCCAGGCGTGGCAGCAGGAGCCACAGGCGGAGTTCCTTGTACCTGGCACCAAGGATCGTAGAAGGTTTGTGCCAGGGTTCTAGAAGGGTTGTATAAGGGTCGAAAAGTGTGCGATACAGGGTTTTAGGGTACAGTGTTTAGCGTATAAAGTGAAGCTGGGTGAGGGCTTTAGAGTCTTGAATGTTTCGGGATGGAGGCGAAGGTTGGCAGGGGTTTCACTGATTCAGGGGCTGTAGGGTTTTCCGGGTTAAGGGTGGAAGGATCCACCAACGGACCGCCTGAAGCCCGCGAATCCTTTCCAGCTTCGGGTGGAGGACTGTCTTCTCGGGTAGGGTTTAAGGCTTTGAAGTTACGGGATTGAGGCTTAAAGGGGGAGCTGGGGTTTAGAGTGGGGGAGTAAATTCTGCGGGTTCATAAGCGCGATATGTGTGAACTTTCACCTTGAGAAAACCTACTTGCCCGAAGCAAACCTTCAACCCCTAAGCCACCAACACCATGAGCTATGCTAAGGTTCTGGGATGATAGGAGTGTTGGGGCCTTCAACCCCTAAGCCACCAACACCATGAGCTATGCCAAGGTTCTGGGATGATAGGAGTGTTGAGGTTTGGGGTATATACTATAAGGGGCTTTGGCTCTAAATCCTAAGTCATTATCTTGCCCGGCTTTGCTGCGACCTTGAGACTGCATGTGCCCTTCATGTCGGAGGTTGCGAGTCTAGGGCCTACGGTAGCAAGTGGGGCTGCGGTTGAAACGGTACCCTAAGCTCCCCAAACTGACAGGATTGCCATGCAAGGATTCCCAAGCGTGCCAGAAACGCGCTACCCTGCACACTAAACCTTTGTAAGTCCCCTTCCACCTCTCCGGCTTGTTCAAATCATTGCCGACTTTTTGGATCAGCCTCAGAACCCAGAGCAACTGGTGGATCTGGAACTACCAGAAGCCACAGGTTCGTGCGTTTCTAGGTTTAGGATCCCTACACCCTAAACCCTAAACCTTAAACCCTAAACCCTACACTCCTAAACCCCTAGGCTCCGGGGTTTTCTGGGACACGCTTAGGATTTCGGGTACTGGTTTTGGAACTGAAGCTCCAGAGCATCGGCCTCCATTCTCCAAAAGGATGAAATTCCAGAAGGTCACTGTTCTGGGGTTTAGGGTTTAGGGTTTAGGCTGTAGGGTTTAGGGTTTAGGGTTTATGCAGTATAGGGGCCCAATGTTTAGCATCATGGTTTGTAGCTTTCATGGCTTATAGTATAGAAGTTGTGTCTGCCACATCCGAACGCCCTGTGCTGCACATTTAAGTGCCATGGTGATTTGGTTTGCCGTTCCGGACTTGTGCGATGGCACACAGCTGCTCGCGAAGAGGGCCATCACATGTACTGCAGGGGCCTTCATGATTATAATAGAATTTGGAGGGTCTACATTAAAACGTTTAACCATACCAAGGAACCTGCTGGGGAATAACATTATGTAAAACACCCCTATGTTACCTGCAGAAAACTTTTAGGAGTCAAGGGTTTTCGGTTGGAGGAAGCAGTTCCATCTGGACCACTGGCATATAGCTTTTAGGCTTCTAGTCGCCAAATCTCATGTCAATCCACAGATGTATATTTTTCTCGTGTGCCATACATCCCACCCCTAAACCTTAACGGAAAATGTGCAGAAGTCTCGTAGGCTGGACCCACGCACCGAGTGGACAAGAAGCCAGGCGAGAAGGACCGCGGTTCCCACCTGCTGCGGTCCAAGCTTACAGGTCTTTGCTTAAACCTTAAAACTCAACTTTACGGGTTTAGGGCTTAATCCCCTAATACTCAACCTTAAATCCCTAAGCCCCAAACAACCGAAAGGAACAAACCTAAACCCTTGGCCCTGTGGGTCTGCGAGTCTCAGCGTCCTATGAATAGGACGCCATCCTCGGGGACAAGTTAGCGCTTCATGAGGGTTTACCTTAACCCCGAATAACCTACCTTTTTACAGACTTATATCAAGGAATCATAATACTGAACCCTACAAAGGTAGGCTCTTCAGGGTCCAGATAGGGTTTACGGTGTGAGGATTAGGGTCCGCGGCGGGTTTTCCATTCAATCTCGTGGTTTCGGGAGATCTTGGGAGCTGAGGGAACCAACCCAGTAGTCCCAACCCCTTACCTGCGCATGCAAAAAAAAGGCGCCCCCTGAGGTTCCCGAAATTTTCTTAAGGTTCCTAGCGCCCTCCCGCCCTGAACCACCCTCCCTCAAGGATCCTATAGGATTTAGGGTTTCGGGTTTAGGGGTCTTGAAATTAGAAGCACGAGCCTAAACTCCAAACGAATTCCTGCTCTCAGCGGGACCGGATAAAACCTTAAACCCTAAACCCGAACAGCGAAACCGTTGAGAGGTCAGCCCGCCGAGAGCTCGTCGCACGTCAGCGCGCAGCAGAAAGCAGCCGGCAGTAGGGGGACCTTTCGGTGGACACCCCGAACCCTAAAGCCCTGCTTGAATATGCTCTCATCATCTCTCTGGCATAGTACCCTTCTCAAGCCCGTTCAACCCTTACGAACACTGGAACAAATGCTATAAGTGTTTCTCCTACCTATCAAACCACTTACAGAAACCTCTCAACCATCACGTCAAACGAAAACATGGCCGAAAACATGTCCATAAAACCAATGTGTACAGAACCTATCCAGCCCCGTAGTGCCTCATAAGACTTATTAAATGAAACGCATCGCAGAAAGCCCTGCTAATTAGCGCGGCAATATCCCCTTAACCCGATAAGCCCAAATATTATGATCGGGCAGTATAGAAGCCAACATAATGACCTACATTATTCCTTAGGACTCTTTATTATGCCGGAGCCCAAAACCCTATTCTAATTCTTCGGGCCTCTATACTAAACCCTTACGTATACTATTCCATACAGTATCTCTTAAAAAGAACCCTATTCTAACTATCAAGGCCTAGATTACTGGGCTTCAGCCGTGTTTTCTTTTCAGGCACCGAGGAGCCAGGGGCGACCACCGGCCAGCCGAGATATCTGCATCAATGCAGTCCTCGCAAACCCAAAGGCTCCATGCGGTTAGTTCTTTCATTTAAGGGTCCCTGTTCAGGTGCTTTTTGTAAAGGGTGCCGTGCTATATTGGGGACCTAAAAGGGGACCCTAATTAGAGAACGGCCCTTGTACCTATTTAGCATGCACTTTGGCCTTAAAGTACCTAAAGGCCTCAGTCTATACTCCGAAGGTACATGGAGTCTTAGGGGACGGGCTTTGGGTTTAGGGTTTGGGGGACTTCGGGTTCAGGTTGAGGGTTCAGGGTTTAGGGTTTAGGGTTTAGGGTTTAGGGTTTAGGGTTTAGGGTTTAGGCTTTCAGGTTTGGGGCTTAGAGCTTTGATTATGGTTAGAAGGTTTTTTGCAGCGGTTTTATAGAGGTGTTCAAAGGTTTTATAGATTTACCAAAAGGTTCAGGGTTCTTATTGGTTACCGGGGTTCTAGAAGGATATAAGACTTAAAGTGTTCATTGAAAGAACTTTAGGGTTCGTATCGCTGATTAGGTTTAGTTGGGGTTCGGGGTTTAGGGACTGGTGCGTATTACATCGGCCATGTAGGGGACAGGGTCTCATGAGGTTGGGATTTAGTCTTTCCGGTTTGGAATTGTATAGCAGGGTGCAGGGTTTAGAGTTGGGGTTTATGGTTAAAAGGGTGCAGGATTTAGGCTGTAGGGTTTGATAGGGTGTGGGGTGGATTGAATATGGATCAGGGTTCTGAGTCTGTCCTTGCTCAGGATTTGCCTGATGACGCCGGAATCGTCAGAGGTCGTGTTGGTGCTTCGGTGGTTCCGATAGCTCTCGTGGTACAGCCAGGTGCGATACAGCATCGGTACCGGCTTGAAGATGTACTTGTCCCTCTTGAGCTTCTCCACACTCCTATGCATTAGGATTTTGGGTTCAGGGTTTAGGGTTTAGGGTTTAGGGTTCAGGGAGCGGCCGTATATCTAACTTCGTGAGGCCAAGGAGATGTAGCTGGATATATTTACTCCGTTGTAAAAACAAAAATGGTTGCAACAAGCAAAACCCTCTGGGAAGAGCTGGGGTTCCCTCCCACGGCGGGGCGTGTCCACAGATCAACAGCGTGAAAGTCGTAGCGGTTGTGCCCGTCGTACACCAGCTTTACCTGAAAGGGAGGTGACGGACACTCTACTTCAGGACGCACACACGCACACACGCTCGAAAAACGGCTACTCGAAACATCCAAAACTTTACGTTTGAACCCTCCACCATAGTTTTTACAAGCCCCGGACAGCTCCCAAATATCTTTGTCAGCAAGGATGTCACGAGCATCACAGTAAAAATCGTGGAAAGCATCATCACGATCACACTATGCATATGAGCCTCATCGGCAGAAACTATCACCATCATAGTCATAATCATAATCATCACCATATCATGTTCACCAACATTGCCGTCATCATCATCCTTCATCATCACGACCACTATTGTCCTCCTCCGCCTCAGCTCAGCTTCTTCCTCCTCATCGTCGTCATCACCGCAGCAGGCACAATAAATCAAGCCAGCACCCAACCTTGGCAGACACGGGATCACGGACGACGCGCCCGATGAAGGACGGACCGTGCGGCCCCATCAGAGGGTTGTCACTATCGCCCCAGTCGGCTGAATCCACCTGAGGGGGCCGAAGGCCACTGGAGCTGCATGGTTGGAGGGGTTGATGAGGGCTTAGGGTTAGTTGTGCAATATGCTGGAGGTGTCGGGATGCGAATGCTGAATGTACCTAAACATTCAGACCCCACAGGCCGTAGGCCCTGGGGCTCGTAATGTCGGGGAGTTCCCACAACCCACTTGCGAATCTGCAAACTTGCAAAACATGGAGCGCAAGCCCTCAGACCCAAATCCAAGTAAACATCCAGTGGTCAAGCTCGAAGTGGTTGATAACAGTAATCCGGCTGCGTTCAGCAGCAGTCTAGCAACCATGGCGGCGGTAAGGAGGGATGGGATGACTGGGTTGTCTGCGCAGAGGCCCACGTTGCCTTGTGCCAAAGCCTTAAACCCTGACCCCCAAACCCCAAACCACCCCAAACCCCTAGAAGCCTTCTTCTGCCCGGGCTTCTTCATAGGGTTCACCCGGACAAGGCTCACCCAGAAGGCTTTTTCCTGGGAGAAGTTGAGGTTTAGGTCATGTTTAGGAGGGTTTAGGGTCTAAGTCTTCGCATGAAGGAATGCAGATTGAAAAGGGACAAGTGCATTGAATAGGGAATGTAGGGTTCAGGGTAAACTGTATTTGGGGTGTGAGCTAGTGTAAGGCTGCGGAAGCCTCGGATTTACGGCATTTGGGCTTAAGGCCACGGGCTAATTATAAGCGCGACTGTACTGCTTGAAAACAAAGTCTCGGCAGGGCATCGGGGGCTCTGTTATCTACTGCTAGTTTCCAGAATTCGCACCCCACCCCCACCCCTCTTCCTCAGAAACTAAATAGGGTAAAGAGTAGTTAGTAAGGCACCCCTTGTCTCTGTTTACTTGGAGCGGTAGCTGCAAGGGTAAACCCTCAACAATTGGTTTTGCAAAGCTCGCTTGCTCAGGGACTTGCTACCGGCTTTCTGAACTGAATTTCGCTTTGGGCCTGATTCAGGGATGTTCACGTTGATATGATTCGAGACCAGGGTAGAAGCCAGAAAGTCTGAACCTTATGATCCTCATGCCCTTAAGGTAAAGTATAATCCATGTTCTAACTTTCTGGGGTTCACTATAGGGAAGTTAGGATTTTGATATAGGGGTTCAGATTCCGGCCTAAACCCTAAACCAGGTCTTAAATGCATGTTCGGCTCATGACTCGAACATGCAAAATCTTTATCATCGCAAGACCTGCACCCCCCCCCCCCCCCNNGGGTTTTGGGTTCAGGGTTCAGGGGTTTGGGTTTAGGGTTTAGGGGCCTATATCCTACGAACCCCACTCGAAACCCCATACCCCGCACCCTAAATGCTAAACACAACTACGCCCTAAACCCTAAACCCTAAACCCTAAACCCTAAACCCTAAACCCTAAACCCCTAAACCCTGAACCCTAAACCCTAAACCCTAAACCCTAAACCCATCAAGACCTCGTAAGCAGCCAATACTCCCCTAGGAACCTACCAATGAGCTACAGCAATATCCCAAGTGCCCTCAACTAAACCCTATAGCCGCAACCTGCCCTAAACCTTAAACACTAAACCCTAAGCCCTAAATGGCCCCAAACCTCAAGCCCCAAACCCTACTCGGAGGTTCAGGGGTAGTTATAAGGGGAGTTATAAGTAGGGTGACTGTAGTTATAACC